CCCCCCCACGACAAGCCGCCAGCAGCAGGCTGAGCCCCTCAGAGAACATGGAGACCTGGGCCCCCCCATCTTCCTGAAGGGATGAGGGGGGTGGGCAGGGAGAGAGAGAGAGAGAGAACACACTAATTCCCAAGAGGCATGGGGGGATGTGTGTGGAAATCAGGGAGTAATTATGTTAATCGGGCTTTGCTGAGTTTACCTCATCTCACTGCCTGATTTTTCTGAGCATCCTAAGTGGACAGCATCAAGGTGCTTGTCATGTTCATTCTAATAAAATGTGCCACTGAATATTGAAAATTCAAAAGCTGCTTCCTTTTGCAAATTGATCTACTGAATTCCACTTCACTGTCATTTGCTTGTTGTTGAAAGGTTTCCACCAAAGATCTAAGTGGCAGACAGCAAGCAAATTTTTGTTTGGATTTGGTTTGATGGGGGGGGGGGCAATTTATGCACACATACATATAGACACACACACTCACTCACACACTCACATGCATACAACAGATTAAGCCAGTAAACCTGGTCACAGATAGGACCTAACCACCTTTATTATAAAAATCTTCTTTTTGAGAACTCCTTCAAAAACGCAGCCAATTCTGAATACTCCTTATGAAAGGAGTTTGTTTTGGGGAGTTTAGAGCCGAATTGTGAAGGCTTGTGACCAAAATTGCATTTGATCAAAAGGCTTCATTTTCAAAATGCTTTGTTTTGATTTTTATTCTTTTTCATTAGGTGTGGGAAATAATGCTTAGAAAATTCCAAGAAAACATTCTGTAATGTCAGCCCTCTCTGAAAGTCCAGGTCATGAAAAAGAGATTCTCCGGAGCTGGAACAGGAAATGTTTTAGCACAGTGCCAGTGGTTTCTCGGTAGGAAATGTACTTCACACTAAGGGGCACTATTATGCCTTAATTAGGTATGAAATGAATTAAATAAACAAATCTTTTGCTTTTAGCACTAGCTATCAGCCCTTTGTAGACTTGGTCACTAATTTCCTTGAATGCACTGATAGCCTGTGGACCCTTCGATTTCCCTCTCGCCTTTTAGGGGAGAAGCATACAGGGAGGGGCCATTTCTGATCCTCTTAAGAACGAAAGTTCTGGGTTTGGGCATGATTCCATTTTTAACGACAGCATACATCTTTTCTCCCTCTGGGTGCTACCGAGGACTCCAGAATCACTCAAAAATGCCCGTTTGTATATAAAATCTCTAAAAACACAAAGAATAGCACGAAGATCCTAGCCTGAAGGAGGTAGCCGGTCACCCTTGGACCCTGCAAGCCGATATTACAATGGCAATCACCGCGAGTGCCAGGATGGAAGTGTCAAGTGGTAAATATTAAATCATGAGCCTAACTCCAAATCCCTCACAGGAGATTCATGTCCTCTCATGACTCTCATCCCTTTTTATGAGGGGCTTTCAAAAAAGTTCATGGAAAAATTCCACTATCTTTTCACCCCATTTTGCCATGAACTCTTTGGAGGCCACTTGGCTTTTTTTTTTTTTTCTGCTTAGTTTCAAGGTTCTTAAAGAAACCTTTGCTTTACCAACAAAATATTTATTAGGATATAATTTTATTTGAGATTATATGCAATGCTCCAAATAGACTACATACATATAATTTTATAGTTGCTATGAGTCAGAATTGACTCAGTGGTAGTGGGCTATACGTGCATATGTTTGTTTGCTTTTCATGCATATGTTTTTATATATACATTGTGTTCCGTTTCCTTTTTTTTTTTTTTTTTTGCGGACCAGATTACCTTTCTTGAAATAGGGTGACTGCCTTTCTTCCTAAGGATTCCATTACTCCACATTTTGAACCGATGAGCAGAAACTAGTAAAACGAATTTCCTCATTGCTATTAGAGCTGATGCCTGAACATGGAGGTTCTTATCCAGGGAACCTCCAGTTTTGTACAACTGATGACTGCCGCTTTCCCGCTGACCGCCCCTCCCCAGGCCCTGGTTGTCCTCTTGGTGGTACCTGATCTTGCAAAGACAGCGTGGAGAAAGCTGGCACACTCTTGGCCCACTTGATACTCATAAAGAGAAGCCTGGCCGCTGATTCACACACAGATTCCGTGGCCACCTCATAGAGATACATTGGGGTCCCATTCACTTCGTGGGGGTACTGGGAGGGGGAAACAAAAAGACACCTGGAAGTGAGGAAATCACAGGTTTGCCAGAAATGCCAACTTTTAAATCTCATTAGAACAAAGAAGGAAATGAAAAGGAAGTCCAGTGTTCTACTGGATTGTGTGTTTGCCATAGGCAAGTAGAAACCTAGCATCCGTATCCCTCTAGCTTGAGAAATAAAAATGGCAGGGGAAGGCCCACTTCACCCTTTGGGGGCCTGTTCCTTTGAGGGGCTTCTGGATTTCCTATCCCCTGCAGCAAATTTTCCTCAGGCTGAGCCAAGTGCCAGGCCTGGCTCCCAATTTAGACAAGAGCTGCTTGTATTTGTGTAAATAAAAATAGATGTGAAAAAAGTATAAATTAATAGGCATCCCAAACACAAATATGCATATGAGTATTTTTAGAAAGGATTAGTATATTATGGAAATATTTCAATTAGACATCTTAATCATTCACAGAGCATTCCCATTCATAACTGACAACATATTCATAACACTACTTTCCCGAGCTTATTATACGCATCAAGGGTAAGAAAGCAGTATTAAATATTGTGCGTGTGCATGTGCCCAGGTGTTTGGCTTCCCTGCAGCGTGGGGCTGCAGCTGGCCCGCCCAGGGTAGATCCTAGGCCCTTCTCACTAGGCCTGGAAGGGGGGCCTTGGGTGGGTGCCAGCAGGAGGCCCCCAGGGCAGTCTCCAGGTGGCAGCCTTTTGAGGTGGTTCAGACAGTGGCCCTGACACTAGGGCCCTATCCTTGTGTAAATTCTAGGAGCTCAGGAGAAGGTGAGGTGCCAGTAAACATCAGCCAGGTCCTTCAAAGTGCCCTAATAGTTTGAGTTCCACTTCTCCCTCTCGTTAATATTAGGGACCCACAGCTTGGCTCAAAATAATAGATCCCTGCTGTTTGCAATTAATGGTCTTTCCAGATAGCAGGGTCAGCTCCTCTTAAAAATAAAAAAAATTTAAAGGGATGTGGGTTCTTCTGGTGTCCAGAAACATCTAAGACTGCCCTCTCAGCACGCACTGCCAACAAAACAAATACACCTGTACAGCCAGAATGCTCCTTAGAGATAAGATCTGTGAGACTTCCTCTCACCTAAGTCTGTGGACGTGTTGTCAGGAAAGACTAGTCCCTGGAGAAGGACATCACGCCTGGCAGAGTAGAGGGGCAGTGAAACAGAGGAAGGCCCTGGAGGAGGTGGACTGACCGCAGTGGCTGCAACCTCAGCACAATTGTGAGGATGGTGCAGGACAGGGCAGTCCTTCCTCCTGTTGTACATCTGGTTACTGTGAGTCCGGATGGACTGGGGGCATCTAACAAGTGCAGCCAGGTAGCTAAGCAAGCCTTTCTACCAGGCTCGGAAGGTCACATGTGTAAGTTGGCTCCTCAAGAGCGACTCTCCTGTCACTAACATTTGGAGCCCCTTCTTAAAGGGTGAGCTTTCACTGGGCCCCTTCCCTGCTCAGGCCAAGTGGGTGGGCCACTCTCCTCTCTCTGCTCAGCAGGCGTCTCCGTGGGCCCAGCAGGCTGCTGACCTTGGGCGTGGGCTGCGCTAGGCTCACAAGGGTCTGCCGCTCCGGGGTGGTAGACACAGCGGCCAGCTCCAGGCCATGCGGCTCCAGCTGGGTGACAGCGGTGAAGAAGGCAGGGGCGGGCAGTGCAGCCGAGGGGAAGTGAGCGCCCGCCCCGTTCTCCTCCTTGTGGCCGCGGAAGTAGAGGGCCACTTGCTTGCGGATGGTGGACGTCCGAGGGCCCCGCTCGTGCTGCACAGCTGCAAGGACAGACGGACAGACATAAGCCCGGGGTCAGACATGCAGTGAGGAAGGTGAGGGCTCGAGGCCCCTCCGTGAACCAGGAGGAAATCTGAGCCCAGAAGGGGCTCCGAGGCCCAAGGGCCCGGTTCTCCATCCGCCCCGGGGGTCCCCCCCACCCAGGGAGTAAGCTCAGGAGACCAGGTCCTCCCTGTCCTCGAGGAGGGAAGAGGAAGCTCAGAGTCCCGGGAGAGTCCTTCCCTACTTGGTCCAAGGTGACTTCGGTCCACCCCCCACCCCCCACCGCGCTGTTCCAGAGGACCCTAGCAGCAAAGGACAGGAGGTCCAGGGACCCTGGGAGAGGAGAAGAGGGAGAACCTGTGTGCGGAAGGAAACTGGGGAGATGTGACAATTATCACCAACAGTTTAAACAAACAAATTAATTCGAGGCAATCTTCCGTTTGCAGAGCTGGGTAACTTGAAGATACACAAACAAGTTTAACAGGTTGGCTGCTCCCTCCTGCTTCCGCCTCCCGTCGGAGAGAACGGCGCTCTCCGCATGGGCGCGACGCACCCAGGCGATGCCACCAGCCGGGGTTGTCACTCAGCACTGAGTTCGAGGGGAGCCCCCATGCGCCCTCCCCTACTGTCCCCCTGCCAGGCTGGGGTGTCCTCGCCAGGCCGCCACTGGGACTAATTCATGAGCGCATTTAAGGGCCTCCTGGAGTTGTGTGTCCCAGGCGCCCACAGGCCGCCCCAGACTCCTTTCTGTAGAATCGAGAGGAGGCCCTAAGTAAACCTACCTCAGCACAGGGACAGAGCAGATTTTGACCTCTTGGGAAATTTGCAAACAAGGGCTCCACATTCTACATTTTCTGATCTGTTTCCCCATCTTCCCAAGCACCTCCCAGCTCCCCAACTCACTCTGGAGGAGACTGGGATCCTGGGGCCATCTAACAGGCTTGGGGTGGGGCAGGACACAGAACTGCAGGAGACAGAAGGGACTCCAGGCAGGAGCTGTGGCGCACCCCCACAGGATGGGGGGCAGGCGGGGGGTACTTCAGGAGGTGGGGGTGGTCAGGGTTTCCAATGTGAGCCCACGCCCAGCCGGAGGGAGTTCAAGGTGGTGGGTTAGGAGGGGCGACTCTTGCAAAGAGAAGGCTACGACTGACAGGCCGAGGTCAATTCCCAGCATCTGGGAAGAAGTGGGGCCAAATGATTTACATGCATAGGCGTGCCGTGTATTTTCTGTACATATAATTTACTTACTACTCAATCAACATTAGAAGAATAAAGGAATGCGCTGATTACCGTCTTTGTTCATGTTGACCTCCAAACACTTCTTCAGCCGACACGCCCGGCACTGGTTTCTGTGCGTCTTATCCACGGGGCAGCCTCCCTGCGACAGAGCGCAGGCGGTCAGCGGCCCCAGGCTCGTGCCCCGCTGCCGAGCCAGTCAGGCGTGCGTGCGCGCCCTCGCTGGGCCGCAGCCCCGGAGCCCCGGACCCCGGCCGCCCAGCGCGAGGGGTGCGGGGATTGGCAGGGCCAGCTCGAGAAAGGGCTGCCGTTCCCGGGCTTACTTCCCGGGGGGCTGGCTCCGCGCACCTTACGCGAGCAGGCGAAGAGGGAAAACTTCCCGAAGCCGTCAGCGGGCCAGCCCGGATCCGACCCGGCTGGGAGGGAAAGCTGCAGAGGGGAGCGTCCGCCCGTGGCGACGGTGGTGGGGCGGGGAACGAGACTTTTCAGGACCGAAGACAGCGACCCGGCCCCAGCCCTCGTTAGTTTTGCACTGTCAGGTCCACCTCTTTTTGTCACGTTCTGGCTAAACCCACTTCTCTGCCGGGGGTGGGGTGGGGTGGGGGGTGGGGGCGGTGTTCCTCGCGTTTATTTTTCAGTTTCTTGCTCTCTCACTTCTGCCCCAAGCCTTAGTATGGGAACCTCACCTCATCGCCACAGCGACCCTAAAGGGTGGGGTAGGGTTTTCCCCTGAAAACTTTTTTTTTTAATTAAGAAAGTGAATTTATTCTTTTCCCCAATGATTTCCTTGCAAAAGTCTGATCTCTCCAGTTAAATTTAAGGAGAAAAGCTAGATGCTATGTATTCCCTACTCCAGGGCATTTAGTCTCTGAGCAAGGCCTAATAACTCTTTATGGGAATAGAAAGCCTCACCTTCGTCCCTCAGAGCAGCTGAAGGTTTCAAACTGCTGACCTTTCGCTTAGCGGTCCAACTCATAACCTACTAACCAGCAGAGCTCCTCACAATCGTCCCTGTTGAGAGTTGGCCTAACCTCAGCCCAGACTCATTTCCATGAGTCCAGTTTCCTACTCAGAAGGAGACGCTAAGAAGCTGGTGTGGTTAAGAGCGCAGGCCTACAGACTGGAAACCCAGCTCTCCCCGGCGTCTAGAAATGCCCACCACCTACATGTGACCATTAGAGGGGCTGTCCGGTGGACTGGCACTGAGAATATCAGCATGTTCAAGACACTGGCAAACTTTTCCAGCTCGGTGCTGATATTCTCAGTGTCAGGCCATCAGGCAATTTTTGTGGGAGAAACACTAGCCATTGAAAGAGAAAGTTGAAGGAAGGTCTCTCGTGGTATTCAGTGTTAAGTGTTTTTACTGAGGGAACATAAACTTAAATGCAAAAAGATTCATACATGCCAGTGCATTTTGTACATTTAAATATGTATATGAAGCTTGGCGCTCTCCTGCCTGGGTTTATACTTGTCTAAATTGCTACAGGTTACATTTAGAGTGGGAAGAATGGTAGCTTCATTTTACTGCAAATTCTCAAAAGCTTGCATATATTAAAGTGAAGTATGTAGATTTTCTAGTTTTTTAAAAAGTATCCTAGGGGGTGGATTGCTATGCATTAGAATGCAGGTTTTGGTTGTTTTGCTGTCACCTCCCCCCCCCCCCCAATGATACTCCTCCTATTTAAAATGTGCTGATTTGTTTCCATGAAGGTAGGGTAGAGATTCCTAACAATTTATAGATGTCCTATATATTATTCATAACAAACTAGAATATTATTTACTTGATGTTAGAATGAAAGAGAGAAAGGAAATAATTTGGGGGCCCTAAGTGGATTCTTCAGGACTTCTTCACTGGCCAGTGTAATAGCTCCATGTAAGGAGATTTCGAAAATACCTTATTATTAAATGTAAGCATCTGTCTGTCCCCAAATGGTATCTCCTCTGTACTTAGCTAAACATACTAATGGAAAATGCTCTTAAGTATGTCTTCAAACTACATCAAATATGTATTGGGATCTGGAGCCCAAGACAGCGAGGAATGCCATATCTTGTTCCATTTATTCTCGCTAAAAGGAGAGGTTTACCAGGTCAGGAACACTTCTTTACTGACAGCAGTAGGAGGAATTGATAGCCATCTCCTTTTCTCAAGTATCAAATCAGAGAGTTTGGTTTCCCAAGTTCGCATAAATGCAGGAGACTGAGGAACAAACTCACTGGAGTCACCACCTGCTTTAGCAAGCCCACATTCCTGTGGAGCTGTTGGGTAGTCCTGGGTGTATGTAGTTAGTCTGTCCATCTGGCAAAGCTGAATGTCTATACAGAACTCTGTGCCCAATTAAACAGGTGGAGGGCTGGCGAGTTCAACATAACTTGTCTGAATGTGAATGTTTTCTTGTTTTTGTTTTAATCCAAATCTACCAGAGATGACTATGAACAGAGATGGTGTCAAAAAAAAAGAAAGAACTAGCACTAGACAATGTGTGTGTGTGTGTGTGTGTGTGTGTGTGTGTGTGTGTGTGAAAGAGAGATAGATAGAGATATCTTAATTAGTGGAAAGTATTTCGCCAGTTGGTTACTGGACAGGTGGTTTCTAACTAATGCATTCCCCAGGATCTTCCTGGGAGTAGAGGTGAAGACCTCTATGCCCAAAGTCTATGGCCTTGGCTGAGAGGAGGACAAAGCAGGGGACCTAGGTTGGTATCCAAGGCTTAAATAACCTGTTACTGAGCTGGAAACAAAGTCAGGAGATTCTGCTGGTTCTTTCTAAAAGTGTTAGCTCACACTGACCCCATGTGTCCCCATTTGGCCCATGCCCTGACATTTTACCTCCATCTCGTTGAGGCTGTTCTACCTGCTTGCAACCAAAAGACAAGCAGGAACATCTAAGCAGAGTGGCAGAAAGAGATGTGGGGACTTTGGAGAGAGTCCCAGTTGTGCCTTCCTTGGGAGCCTTCTCTTCTTGAGCACCCAGGCCTTCTTCAGCAAGGCCCCTTGAAGGCCCCCTGAATGTGGCCAACAGCCCACTCCCAGAGTGGCACTTCCTCTGGGCGTTGAAACAGTAAGGTTCCTCACAGAACATGCCCTGTCTGTTCCAAGTGGCCAACACCCATGTTGGATCTCAGGTAAAGGTGGCATTGACCTTGACTCACATGCCCCTTTGATCTGCCCCTTTGATCTGCCATCCCACAGCATGGTGAAGGGTGTGGGTTTGAGCGCTGCAAGAAATGGGGGTAGGGCTTCTTGCTCCTTGAGGTTTGGATTCTAAAGCTCCTTAGCCTCCTGGGCCGGCTTTGCAGCCACTGGGCATGAGCCTCACCCAGTATCAAACTCTGTCACAGGATCCCACAAAGAGGTGTGAAGAAGGTGCTGGCATCTCATGTTTCCCCTGCTAACCGTCCTCCCTTAACTCTTTTCCCATTTCCCCAGTAAACCACGGAGGGAGGAGATAGAGGTGGGGTGGGGGTGGGAGTGGGGGCAGGGAGAGGAGAGGAAAAGAGAGCCCAGTCCCCCCTGCTGGGCAGCACTGGGTCTTCTAAGGGCCCTGGGTACAGAGGGGCATCGGCGAGCAGGCCGGGCCAAGGTACCTGGTTTCCAGATTTGCAGACATAGGTCCGATTCCTACGGATACTCCGTTTGAAAAACCCGGAACAGCCGTCGCAGGCGTAGACCCCGTAGTGTTTCCCAGAGCTGCGGTCTCCACACACTTTACAGGGGATGTCTAAAATGCGGCCTGGCCCGGCCGAAGAGAAAAGGTGGGCAGGGAGAGAGGGAGAGGAGGGCGGAGGCGAGGGAGAGAGAGAGAGAGAGAGAGAGAGAGAGAGAGAGAGAGAGAGATTGCTAAGCAATCTGACCTCTGAAGGGATTAGCGCCGAAGCTGCGGTAAAAGCAAATAATGAAGTGATTTTATAGCCAAACTTTTTTTCCTTGAGCAAGTGTCAGTTTCCTACAATGAGCATTATTCATGCACCGCTACATGTATTTGGGTCTCCTCTAATCGCCGAGCCCCATTTTGGAAGAAAAGATTACAGCCGGCCCGAGCGGCAGCTCGGCCCGCCGCGGCCTTTCTGCCCTGCGAAAAGTTGGGCTGCCTCCCGGCCCGACTCGCATAGAACAGAGCAAGTCGTTAGCAAGCGCGCGAGGAGACCAACTTGCAATGTAAAAGCGGCAAGAAGAAAAACAAACACGGCTGGAACGGACCCTGGCAGCTGGAAGGCCATCGCGTTTTCTCTGAGCTCCGCCGGGGCCCGGTGATTATTGGGATTATTATTGTAATGCTAATACTCGGATTATTAATGAGAATAAGGGTAGTGGTCACTGCCCAACCTTCGCTTTACCTAATTTTTAAAAAGGCTTCATTTTTTTGTTGTTTGTTGAGAAATTCTTTTAAGGGGGGAAAAAATCTCCCAAGTACCAAACAGTAGGGCAGGCAGAAGAGAGGAGTGGGAGATTGGGTGGCAGGTTCCCTGACAGGGCGACTCCGGCCAGACAGCCCTCTGCTTTCCACTCCCCAAGTTTGTTCCCTACCAACCCTGCTTCTGAAAAACCCACCGCCTCTTTCTCTCTGCCCCCGCCCCCTGCGGCCCAGGGCTGGGTTTTTAGGGTCCGATTCCTCTAGCTGCACCGGCCCCCAATTCCCGGCTCCGAAGAACTTTCCTTGGGACCAATCCCTTGGCGCCCACGAGCCCGAGATGGCCGCGGGGCCGAGAGGAGTAAGATGAACTCGGAGAGAAAGGAGAGACATGGTTTTCTGCGAGGTTCACGAGTTCAACAAGTGCTGCCAGGGCCGGGGGGGGGCCGGGGTGTACCCCGGCTCCCGCAAACAAAGAGGTAGGCTTTAGATGAAAGGTTCACTGAGGGATTTCTTGCGTGGTCCCCACCAGTCTGCGGGCCGCGGGCCTCCAGGAAGCGGGACAGCCGCTGCCCAGAGCGGCGGAGGGGACGGAGACTGGGCAGGGGGTGGGGTGAGGGCAAAGCCTGGG